CACCAGTTAGGTGGGGGCAACCAGAGGCGATGCTCAACACCAGACGCAGGCTATGGTGGGTAGAGTTCCACGCACAGGCACCGCGTAAGAAGGTGGTAAGGAGGGAGGAGGAGAGTGGRAGGAGYTGTAGAGAKTTKGGTGGGGGAGCATGAAACATGGAATTGACGAAGATGAGAGTTYGTGAGACCAGCGCGATRAGTGGGATCGAATCRGAATGCAYCGAGTTCTGAGGATCCCCATCGGTAGGTCATGCACTTAAGTAGAGGGTATGGGGTTCTTTTTTCGTGTGGAAGGGATGTGGGTATGGGAGGGAGAGTAGGTGGGGGGAAGGGTATGGGGGTGGGGTTATTGCGATGGGTGTTGTTAATTGCCATACTGGAGATGGTGAATAGGGCGGGAAGAACCAGTGTGTGGGGTTAGTGGGTTCGGATGGGGGTGCTAGCTTAGTACAGGGGTATGCTTTTGTGTTCCATTGGCGGTGGGTAGTATGGTTCGTCGCGGCAAGTGGAGGGATTGACACATTGTGGGAGCTAGGTTGGCTTTTGTCTTGTTGCATGGCTATGGCGACGTGTGCTGACAGCCCCGTTTTTTTGTTCTACGTGCATGTGGTGGGTTGCGTTTCTTTTTTGTTGTTGTTTTGTTGCGTTTCTTCCTGTATACGGTAAATTCAAGAGTTTTGACCATGGGGAAGTATTGTCTCTGGTGGGGGGTAGCGCGTGTATATCTTTTGTCTGTTTCGTGAGTAGAGGCACGAGTTGAATGTAGACGGTATGTGTTCAGTGCGAATGGGTACAGGTATCTACGGATTTCTCGTGGGGGTACTTGTTTGCGTCGTTTCAGTTTTAAGCGGCGTGTGTGAATGTTTGTTTTATTAGTGTCAGCGTCTGAGGATGTGATGCCACTTGGGTGGGAGGGTCGTGGGAGGGGTGTTCAGGAGGCTGAAGGGTATTGTGTGTGTTATATTTGTGCCTCAAGGGGGTTCTTGGGGGTAGTTAGTACGGGAAGGCAGGCAGGGGGGGAGGGGGGGGTTGGATTTAACAGGCTCTCTTGTTCCGTGTTCATTTGTATATATATATTTCTATATATATATATTGTAGCTTGTGTATCTATTATGCGGGGGGTGACTTTTTGATGTATTATTGATTTTTTGAAGCTGGCGGGGGTGTAAGGCTGTCCAAGCCTCTCCTTCTTAAAAAATGTGTGTGTGTGTGTGTGTGTGTGTGTGTGTGTGTGTGAGAGAGAGAGAGAGAGAGAGAGAGAGAGAGAGATGGCGGAAAGAGGGAGAGAGAAGTAGCGATGGTGGAGGGCAGAAAGCGGGAGAAAGGCCAAAGGTGGAATGGTGGGAAGCGGTGGAAGAAGACGGGAGGGGAGAGAGAGAGAGAGAGAGAGAGAGAGAGAGAGAGAGAGAGAGAGAGGGATGGCGGGAAGAGGTAGAGAGAAGTAACAATGGTGGA